CAGAGCTACCAAAGTGGTCATTCTCTGAAACAAGCCCACGGGACTGAAGCCTGAATGCTCCTTTCTGATTAGAAAATTAAATTATGGCTGAGAGGAGACTTTGCTATGCCCACTTCTATTGTCTCCATGTCTTTCAAATTGTTAAAAAAAAATAAAGTAAAACCCCTGAGGACGGGAGAACACAATTGGAAGTGACAGCTACAGCAACTTAATGAGTATCCGCTGGCAGAGCCACAGTTAATTGCGTTCACACTTGTAGTCCCCCCAAGTTGTACGGTAAAACGCATTAATTCAATCTAGTTCTGCCAGAATGTGATCTAGATTGCTTTACTTCTCAAAACAAAAACCATCTTGGGGGAAGCAATAGGTGTGAGTTTAAACCAATTTGAGCTGTGGATGGAGTTAACTCTGTTCCTCCATCCTGTCTGAGCCCCTGACCGCTAGCAACTATCTCACAATTTGCTTTTCTAGTCTGGATTAGCTTTCTACAGACTCATGAGGCTGCAGTGGCTCAGCACAGGGCCAGGCAGGCTACAACAGTAGCAGAGAGGCAGTGCGGATTTCGGAGGAGTGAGGAGACTAAGCAAGCAGTCTGGGTCTATTTACACTCCATGAATCTGCATGGTACACCATGTTCAAATTTTGCAGGTACCTGTTCAAATTTTGTCTTCCTGATTCCAAAGATGCTTAAATGAAGACTATACACAGTTTAATGTGAGGGAAAAAGAGCTGCCAGCACATCTTGTCTGATGGTTTAGGATCTCCCTTTTCAGTGTACTTGCTTGTCATTCCCCCTAGCCCTATCATTAGTTACTTGGAAGGAGATACCAACCCCTCACCACAACTGTCTTTCAGGTAGCTGGAGAGAATGAAAAGGTCTCCCCTGAGCCTCCTCTTCCCCAGACTAAACAAGCCCAGTTCCCTCAGCCACTTCTCATAAGACTTGGGCTCTACCACTGCAAAACACAAGCACTACAACATTAAAACTTAAATGCCTTGATTTCTTTAAGGACAAGCAAACAAATCAACCAAAGAAATAGTAAATCTCAACTGGCCTGCAAGCAAGCTCTATGACAAGATCTTCCACAGTACATCAAATCTTACCCTGTGCCCTTCTGGCTCCCTACTATCCTGGCTCCTGTGCATCAAGGGCTGCCACTGACCTCAGACAAGCTCAGGTCCAGTGTTCTGTCACTTCACAAGTGCTCTGATGTGGTTTCTGCTCTCATCTGGAAAGCTGCTGTTTTTAAGAAGACGACAAACACCTACGATTTTGTAGTTGGTAAAAAAGGGGTAATGTGACTACAGGGAAGAAAGGGAAATTAACAGTCTGATCACCTAGAAGTGGTAGGGATAAGAAAAATCAGCCACCTTTCACTTCAGCTAGTTGTATGGTGAGTTTGGTAACAGCTGTACGAACAGTTCTAATCACACATTTTGGAAAGAAGTATTAGATGGAAAACTAAATATGATCTCAATCCTTAACAGTTAATGCTGGCTACACTTCCTAAAATACTGAAATTATGCATGGGTACATGCAATCCATGCGATGACAGCAATGCCATCTCAAATGCAAAATATGGCAGTAAGCAAGAACAGGAAGACACCGTTGTTCTACTACCCTGCAATGAACAAAAATAGATCTAAAGGCCCTGTCCATCTCTTGTACACTAACATGCACTCAGAGGCCACAGCAGCAAGCACAAAATTTATGCAACAGTATGTTGTTTTCTGCGTAAGAATAGAAAATATTTATAGAGAAACTCCAGCCTATCATAAGATCATGTGGTTAGCCACAGGCTGCTGAAATCTGAAATATGATAGCTCGATATAAAAGACTCGAGAAGTGAGCAATAAAATTGTCTGAAGCCTAAAGTTTCTAAACTCTGTGAAGGCAGCAAAATTCCAGCCACACGGCACAGGGGGATTGGATAACTCCTGAGAGTGCTCTGAGAAGATGCAAAGGAGGTCGTGCTGGGAAAGGAGACGGCCTGTCTGCTCGTCAGATGTGGATGGAGATATTTGCCCGGACAAGCCTTGTCTAGCTCAATCTTTGGTGGCAGGAAGTTTCTCTTTCCTTGAAACGTACTTTTTTCCTTTTCCTCCCAGCTATTTGGTAGAGAACAGTGCAAGGATAAGCAATGTGCATAAAAGAAAGAACTGGCAGCACCGAAGCAGCCCTATGTTCTCAAACTCACTAAAAATAACTACACATAACTAATATCTGCATTTTTTTTTTTTTTTTTAGCACAGAAATTCCAGCACTTACCAGCTGAATTTTCCACATTGTCATTTTCCCCAGGTGAATCAGAATCAACCAAGGGAGAAGGCTAGAAAACTAGGGCAATGATAAGGTTTTCAGCCTCATCAGTGAAGTGACAGATCCTCAGTCATCCATTCTGGGCATCCAGCAGCTCCTCCCACAGACCATTTTGCCCCATTCCTTTACCATCTTCCAAGCCATAAAAGCTGGTCCACATGCATCCCATTTTTCTGTTTCTTTTGTCCCTGCACACATCATCCCACTATCATTAAGTGACAAAATGTCTCACTGCCTATGAAACTTGACCATCTCCAGACAGACCAGCTGGTGTGAATCTCTTCAGTCTGAGCACTCCTGTTGCATCTTCATTCTGATCACCCTCCTCACCATAAACCAGCAGCCAGCAGCTTCTCCCTGAGAAAGAGCGAACATCAGGAAAGTTAGCTTGGAGAAGAGAAGGCTCTGGGGAGACCTCATTGTGGCCTTCCAGTACTTGAAGGGACATACTAACAGGAGGGGAACGGCTGCTTTCATGGGTGGATAGTGATGGGACAAAGGGGAATGGTCTTAAACTGACACAGAGGAGGTTTAGGTTAGATATTAGGAGGAAGTTCTTCACACAGAGGGTGGTGACACACTGGAACAGGTTGCCCAAGGAGGCTGTGGATGCCCCATCCCTGGAGGCATTCAAGGCCAGGCTGGATGTGGCTCTGGGCAGCCTGGTCTGCTGTTTGGCGACCCTGCACACAGCAGGGGGTTGAAACTGGATGATCATTGTGGTCCTTTTCAACCCAGACCATTCTATGATTCTATGAAAGTGCTCTAGTCTAAGGGATGTGTAAGAAAGGAGGGCCAAATCTCCTTCTTGTGCATAGACACATAAATCCTTTTTTTTGTATGACGGCACATCATCTTCCTATACTGAAACACAACACATTACCAAGCCTGTTAGATAGTTTCATCTTTTACTGTTTTGAATGCAAGGCCAAACCCCCAGTCTGATGACATTTTCATTTTCCACTCATATTTACAACTTAGATCCACACTGTTCTATCAATCTTGTTTATTAGCTTAAATAGCCACTTCTTAATCATGCCCTCACTAATTTGTTACCAGCTGCTGAACCCCTCCTCCATGTTTGCTTTCGCTGCACTAGCCAGACAAGCATTCCAAGTGTATTCTTGTAGATAAGCTTTGCTCAGCTTCAGTAACCCTCCTGGGTGTATTTCTGTACAGGTTCCTTTTCCTGGACAAGATTTGTCAGTCCAGAACACAGTAATGCCTCACTGGCAACTCAGAGGTTTGACCTCATGCCCATCAGTCACATCTGTGGGTGTTTTTTGCGACTGCAATTTAAATTCTTAGCTTCCTTTCACCACTGACTAATAAACCCGGGTATTTTCCCAGTCCTCTGCCAGAGAGCTCCTTGATTTATGGTGCAAATACCCATTACCCCATGCACGCAGTATCTTGCATTTTCTGCTACTGCATGTTCTTGTGTGGGCTGTTTTATTACCTAAAGTTCTCATGTCGCTAACAGAAATGAGATTATTCACTGAAAATATTACTAATTCCTGATCAGGTTCAGTGCCATTTCCAAATGGATCCTGAGAGCCCTACAGGAATTCTTCAAACCTTTGCCATGGAACGTATTTACATCACACAGGTGCGTGTGGTGGTGCTTTTGCTCTGGCAGTTTAATACATGGGTCTGGTGGTTGGCGACCCTGCACACAGCAGAAGGTTTGAAACTAGGTGATCATTGTGGTCCTTTTCAACCCAGGCCATTCTATGACTCTATGGGCACTTCTCTCTTCTAGGCAGAATAAATCTGTGGGCATCCTACCGAGATAAGCTCGCTTTAAAGCTCTGCAGATCCAAAAGAAAAGCAGAGAGGAAAAGACACAAAGGAGACAACGCAAAAGGAAGAAGAGCTCGATGAGAAGCACAGCCCCAGGAGAGCCCTTTTCCGACAGCGTTCAGAGCAGCAGACCGGCAGCTCTGGCTGAGCCACAAGCCCCTAATGGGCACAAAACCCCTCCTCTCCATATCCGATCACAACCAGCGATGGTTAAGAAAACAGAAACAAAAGCTCCAAGAGCCTCACAATCCTGGAGCCTCACAGCACAGACACCCAAGCACAACCACCCCGACCCCGGCGCCACGCGCCCCCAAACAGCACTTCCGGCCACGGCCCCGCCCCGCTCGCCCCCATCCCTCGCTGCCATTGGCTCCCCTCTCCCGCCGCGTGACGGCGGCGCGGCCGCCCATTGGTCCCACGGGAAGCGCGTGTCGCGGAGCCGGCCCGCAGAGCGGCTCGGGGGCCGTGGGCGGGGCCGCTGTCTCCAAGGCGACAGCGCAGGGCGAGGGCCGGGAGGAAACCGTCGTCCGCCGAGTCGCCGCCGCTCCTCGGCGTCACGTGCCTCCGCCGCGCTGGCCCGTTGGCCGGCGCCGCCGGGCGGGGGAGGTGGCGGGGCGCACCACGTGACGCCCTCCTCCCCGCTCTTTCTTCCACCCCGCCCCGCCCGATTGGCTGTTGCCGTGGCGACCGGGGAAGGAGGGGGCGGGGCCGGCGCCCCACCTCACCCGCGCCGCAGCCCGGGAGCGCGGCCCCGCGGCCGGTAGCACCCGGCGGGAGCGGCGCGGAGCGGGCGGGGGCGGCCGTATGGCGGGGGGGTGAGGAGGGGCCGGCGGCAGGTGCGGGTCGGGCGGCGGCGGGCGGTCCGCGCCTCGCCGGGAGGATGCGCGAGTACAAGGTGGTTGTGCTGGGCTCGGGCGGGGTGGGGAAGTCGGCGCTCACGGTGCAGTTCGTGACCGGCACGTTCATCGAGAAGTACGATCCCACCATCGAGGACTTCTACCGCAAGGAGATCGAGGTGGACGCGTCGCCTTCCGTGCTGGAGATCCTGGACACGGCGGGGACCGAGCAGTTCGCCTCCATGCGGGACCTCTACATCAAGAACGGGCAGGGCTTCATCCTGGTCTACAGCCTGGTCAACCAGCAGAGCTTCCAGGACATCCGCCCCATGCGCGACCAGATCATCCGCGTCAAGAGGTGCCGTGTCCCCGCGGGGCCGGGCGGGGATCGGGAGCCGCCGTGCTCCCCGCGGCCGGGGTTTGGGGGGGGGAACTGCCCGCAGGCGGGGCCCGCGCTCTCCTCGCTTCCCCGCGGCCGCCGTGTCGGGTGTGGGCCCACGGCGGAGCCCCCGCCGCTGTCGGCGCCGCGTTGCCGGGCGGGCAGAGGAAGCGCGACGAGGGAATGCTGCCGGGCGCTCCGCCGCAGACACGGCGCTGCCGCCGGCCGTGTGGAGGGAGCGGTGCGGGAGCCGGCTTCGCCTGGGGATGGGGCGCCGGCCTGGGTTTCTCGTTCCGGAACCCGTTTTGGACCGCAGCCGCCGGGCTCGCGTGGCCCGTGTAGGGCTGGCACCGTGCGTCCGTCTTGCTGTGGTGAAACTGGGCAGGAAAGGGCAGGCAGGGCCCGGGCCTTCGGGAGGGGTTGCAACTTTCTCCTCGCTTAATACGCGCCCTAACTTTTTCATAGGGGGTATCAAGACAGATGTAATGTATTTTCTATATTGAGTTCAAAATCACTTTGTTTTCTTTACCTTTGCGATCCTTGCCGTGCACGCACACGTTATAGAAGAAGAGGTTTTCCTGCAAGTAGCGAAGGTAGGCGTTATTCACTCGTTAGCCTTTGGTTTCCCCGTGCTTAGTCAGTGCTGCTTGCTCAGGCGGTGTCTGAGTGCTGTGCCTGGCAGCGGGGCGGCTGCGCTCAGACCCGAGCTGACATCTGTAGATGCTGAAGCAGAATAGAAAGTGACTGCTACTTCCATGCTTACATTGACTCAGCACCGCTCGGGTAGGTCTGAATGCCACTTCTGTTCTTCTTCTGTTGTGTCTTGTGCCGCAAGGCTTCAACTTCTGGCTGTCAGTGAGGCTCCTAGTGAAAGACATACCAGCAAGGCTTTAATTCTGGATTTCCTGTATGCAAAGTGACCTAAAAGCAGCTGAAATTCCTGATTCTATCCAGTCCTTATGTCTGCAAGTGAGTTGCAGTTGAAAGGGAGATGCTGTTGACTTGCTGAAACCACATCTTCTAATTCACTTTTTAACATTGAAAGTGTACCAGCTGCTCCCTGACCAACTTAGCTTACGGTGTGTTTGTTGTTGTTTTGTTTCAGAGCTTGCTGGAGCTAGCAGGCAATGTTTAGGATGCGATATACTGTCATTTTAACCAGTAACAGGGTGCAAGCTGAACTGGAAGAATGCATATTCATGGATATGCATCTGTGCAAGTAGTTCTTATATGTAACTTACAGCTGCACAAAGGCATTGAATCCTTACTGAGAGACAGGTAAACAGTCTGACTTACCCAGGGACTCTGGAGGACACATACCTGGAAAAAACAAGGATTTGCTTATAATGGGTACAAAACTATCTCTGAATTATCCTTGTACCTGAAAACAGATCAGTGTGGTCTCAAAGATACCTGTGGGTATCTTTACATTTTATGTGTTGTCCTTGCCGTTATTTTTGGTGAAGGTATTCTTGTGTGCTTACATAAGTAGGAAGTTGCTTTTCACAAGAAGTAGAAAAGCCAGGTGAAATTTCCTCTTCAAGTGGAGATACAGGCTTCAATTTTCTGCTTCCCTGGTCTAACCACATACCAGACCAAACTAAGCGAAGGAAGGCCTTCATTCCACCTGACGAAGTTGATTTACTTTACAGGAATGAATGATCTATTTACAGGGCCAGCTGAGAGAGGAAAATGTAGACTTTCACTCAACTCTGAAGTGAATTGTAAGAAGCAGTCAAGATAGCTGTTGCCAGTATAATTTTTACTAAATGGTAATTTAATATTAAAAAAATGCATAAAAAGGCTTAAACAGGACTGAAATCCAGGTCTCTCAGTTTCCAGAGAAGTTTCCTAATGGCAAAACTAAAAGTCTAGTTTTCTTTGGTACTGCTTAGTGTGGGAGCCTCACGTCCCTTTCAGGTGTGGTGCACAGCTTCATCAAGAAGAGTGGATGATGTCTCCATAACCTTTGGAAGGTAATTAAAGTTTTTTCCTGGGAAATCTTGGTTTAAGTGTAAACTACCTTTCCAAGTAAACGTAACATTTTTGTCTAGATCTTTCTGGGTATTAATCAAAGCATTATACCTTCAGTGCAGAAGTCCTATCAGTGCTGAGTGGATGGGTGCACTGCCAGCCTGTTCTGGCTAGACCTAAGATGAGTAGAAGAGAAAGGTTTTTACAAGTGCTTCCTGTGCTGTGGGATGGAGTTGTCCATAGCTAAGCATGCCACCAGTGATGGATGGAAGACTGTGGTGATACAGAATCACAGTTGGTAGTCTTCCTTCTCCAGGTGCTGCCTTTTATAGGAGTTCCTACCCAACAAGTGACTTGGCCATAGCTTGTGATGTACAGAGAAGTCACCTCTGCAGTGAGCTGTTCTTGCAATGCTGCCAGCCAGCCATGCTTATCTGGGGATATGCTTTAGCATGAGTATGTAGGGAGAAAGAAACTGTTGAAAGAGTAAGTGAAGCAGTGGCGTCCTTGTTTTGCAGGTTGAGGAATGTAATAAGAAGAGGAGGATGAAGGATGTGTGGTGGCTCAGTGTGAGGCATTGGGTTGTGCAAAGTGAGTCAGAGGTGTAGAGTTGCTGTCTGGATTTGGGAACTTGAGGGCACTTCTGTGCTTGTTTGAAGCAGTTATCGCTGGTGATGATAGATAAGCTTAGTTTGGGAACTCCTACTCGTAACAATTTGAAATGCATTGTTCAAACCCCACGTGTTGAGGCACCTAATACCAGCTTCTGGATCTCACTTGTGCCAAATCTGTCTCTTAAACCTTGGCTCTTCCAATTCTTACAGATAAGTACTTCCAAATGCTGAGAGGTGGTAGCATTGGGAAGATGGGATGTACCCCAGCATAATATTTTTCATGTAGTATTTTGCTATGTCCATTTTTAGTGGAACTCCGTGAAATAGAGAAGTATTCGTATTTCTGTTCAAGTAGAAACTGAAGCACAGAAATAACAACCTTACCAATTTAGTTTACTGTTCTTCTGTTGCTGTAGTTTCTTCAGACATCTGACCAGTGCTGTGAAGACAGAACTGTTGTGTTCAGGTCTTGAAGAATCTACCAGATAATACTTCTAGCAGCACTCTTGGAAAATGTGTAATTTCAAGTAGTGGGAAAACAAGTAAATATTAAATTTTAATTCATCTACTGCATTAGACTAGACTACGAAGACTAGAAAACGTTGATTTAGATTGACTGAAAATGGGCTAAACAGCATAGCTATGTTAAGATGAAATATCACAAGGACATGTCTAACCTGACTGGTCTTTGTGGCAGTGTTTATCATCAGGGTGAAAATCTGCCTCCTGGTCTAGAGATTCAGTGTGGCAATTTAAAACAGATGAGAGAAGTAATTATTGAAATTTATTAATTGTGAAATCAGCATCTTGAGTCAATGATAATTGATGTATTTAAGTGACTTACTGATGATTAACTCTGGAAAACTATACTTGGAGTTACAGATTGCTCAAATGTCTAGTTGAAAAACGTTGTTTTCCAAATGCTATAAAGATTAAATGCTTTCTACTCAAAGATCATTTAGCACATTGGGGACCATATCCTTGTTAAAACTAGATAATATGATGATAAAAAATGGCTGTCAATCAGTATAGAGTTTTGAAGAGATTAAATAGTTTACTTTGTTTTTTAGCTCTTCACTTCAATTGGTGCTTTTCAAACTAGGTTGAATTTACCAGTGTTTGCAGAATCCCAGAATGGTTAAGGCTGGAGAAGACCTCTGGAGATCTTCTGGTTCAACCTCAGGTTATGAAATAACCATCTGGTTCAACCCCAGATGTTCTGAAGTTCATTTCTTTTTGACTAAACAAAGTATTTTTTTCTGGTTTTGGGAACTATTTAGACCAGTATTCAAGAAGCAGTGCTATAACACATTTGACAGCAAACAGGCTCTGGCCTTCCAGGAAGAAATAGCTAAACACCCTGTGGGAGTTAAACTTGGAAAATACTGCTCTTCTGAGGCACTCTTTGCAAAAGAACAAAGCAAGTGCGTAGAGATTTTCATAGATGCTATCCGTGCAGAGATGGTAGAAATAAGAAAGACTGAAATCCTTAAGTCTTTCTTGCAAGAGGGCTTTCTTGTTTTCTTTCTGCTGTGCAGTGACCTAGGTGTAGTGAATTGATTTCTCATCTTTAAGTGGAAAAGGCAGAGCAGGTAATAAGCACGGCCCATGTCCTCCATAGCTTTCCAGGCCGAGCTGCTGCCCACTTAGGTGCTTGTTGGGTAAAACTTACCACTTTATTGCAGGAACACGTTAATAGCTTTTTAATGAGTGCATCTATTTCTGAGAAAGCATGGGAAACTGAATGGAATTCTGACGTGATGTGAGCTTCAGACATTGCATTTGAAGAATTTAAGAATAACAGAAGTCTCATAATGGTCCTTTTTTCTTCTTTTTTTTTTTTTTTTTTTTTTTTTTTCTTTGAACAGAGGGACATCACAACTGTCTGCAATGGGAGGAGTACCCAATTACAGGATACAGGACATGACTCTAAAATTCATTTAGTCTTCAATTTTTAGTTTTTCTTTGTGCTTTTGTTAAATAACTGCCAGACTTTTTTCTTGCTCTGTGGAATTTAGATCTTTTTTTAAGTCAATCTGCCTTTGTTTTAAGTTGAAATTAATGAAATAATTCTGTCAGATAAAATTATAGGTTTCTTGATTCAAGTGGGGAATTCGTACATAGATGGTCCTCTAAAAAAACATCTGACAGCTCACAATTTTAAGCTATAGAAGATTATTTTAAAGTTGTTCAACTTAGTCTGAAAGTCAGATGTTTAAAGTATTTATGCGTCTTTGAAACTTTAGTGCTTTCCTGCTAAAGCTTTTTAAGGGGATTTCATACTTCGTGTTCCCTTGGTTCATTTTTTTCCCCACTTGCTTTCATGATACTTTGAGCTACTATGTTGAAATGATGAAAAATGGAGTGCCTTTAACTAGAGTCTTCTTATTT